AAAATTTAAATTCTCAGTATATGTTACAGCAGACTATATATAAAAGGACAGATTGACATTTGTAATTTAGTTATACTAGCTTGTACTGTGAGGCTGTGAAACAATAGTGTAATATATAAGTTATACAAAATCTGAGTAAAATAGCCACATAAATTCAGAGTTAGTATGTACGGAAGCTTACTTGGCAAGACCTGAATAAAGAGATAGCACAGACTTTTGATGGTATTACATAAAAGATTATCAACCAGAAAACCAGAAAACCAAATAGAATCAAAGTATTTAGCAAGATACTCTACCAACCTGGCTGCTAAAGAGTAACTAGAGAAAAAATATCCTACTGTAAGAACCAGGAGCAGGTTACAACCCTTTCAGACGATCTGAATTAGAAGTTTAGGGCAATAGGTATATAGTGAATAGTTCGTATAGTAGGTGCTGAAGTTTGGATAAACTCTGTAAGAGCAATAGTAGGTAACTGTAGCGGCTTCAGCTTGCAAATACTTGTTCTTAGACTTAGTATAAGTTATCAAAGAAGTCTAGGTAATATGATAATAATGGGTATCAGACTGCTCTAGCAGGTGATGCACTCAAAAATGAATTAATTAACCATGCCGATAGTCCTATAAGTAGTATATAATGATTCTGAAACTTGGACTAACTAATGTATCATATGTTCTGGGTGAGGTTAGATAAATTGGCATAAAAAACTCAAATTAGAGAGTTTAATTGGATAATGCAAATAATAGTAGATTATAGGTATGGCATCTAGTATAAAACCTAGTAATAGGTAAACTACTTAAAATAAATGCTCAAAAGGTGCAAGTATGGCTAAAATATACTTTTGTCAGAATGTATTTGTCTGGGGTCTCATAAAAAGGACACCACATGATTCTATAATCTAATAAAAGTGGAAAGCTAAAGAGGCTAACCTTAACTATAAAAAAATAAAATAAAAATAAAAACATACAAACTAGCTTTGAATGATGCAAATCTAAAATAAAATTTTATGATTATATAAACCCAAAAAAACTAAAAAATTAGATATTCACTTGACAAAACATAAGTAGAAAAATAATACAAATATTTAATAAGAATTAAGACCAAAATCTTAATAACAATTTTAGCAGAAAATGAAAGCTTTAATAATATACAAATTAAAAATTAAGCAAGCAAAAAAGTATACAAAACATTTTAAAAATTAGAAAGAAAAAAAAAATTAGCTAAATAGATTAAGTAGACTAGATCTCAAATAAATTCTAATAAAAACAAAAAAAAATTATATAAAATAGAATAATAAAAAAATAGCAGAAATTAAGAGATAGAAAAGAAAAAAGAAAGATATAGTACTTGAAATAGTAAAAAAAATTTTAGTAAAATTATTTAAAAATCAAAAAAATATATATTAGAATTCAAAAAAAGTTCTTAAAAGAAAATGTAGCTTAAAAAAAAGAAAAAAGAAAAAGTTACTTGAATTCAAAGAGAAAAAAAACTCAAATAGATTAATTAAGACTCAGAAGTAGAAGAATCAAGATAGTATCAAAAAACTAAAAAGAAAAAAAATCTATAGAAAATATTCTTAGAAAAAACTTATAAATAAATTTTTTGAAAAAAAAAAAATTTAAAAAGCTACAAAACAGAAAGAAAAGTATAAAAAAAAGAATAAGAAAAGACTTATAAGAGCTGAGTTACCTATTGATAAAAATAAAATAAATTAGAAAAAAAGTTTAAACTTAAATCAATGAAATTTGTTATAATAAGATAATAGAAGCAAAGCTAAATTAGATATTAGAACATAATTAAAAGTAGATTATTGCTTTAAAGAGGAGAATAAAGTTGAAAAAAGTAACTATCAGTTGAATATAGTTAAATTTTTTTTAAAATGAAACTATTTTGTTATAACTTTACTAGCTAGCTTGGTGCAGCTTTCTGATATAGACAAAGCCTTAATTGGTGAGGCAAACCACTTTTAGGCACCCACTAGAGCAACCAAGTAATATTAGATCTACAGTTTAAATAGTAAAATATATTTTGTTATATATGCTTTGATTTAATAAAGATATCAGCAAGGCTGTTGATAAAAAAAAATAATAATAATTTTTACTCTAATCTTAATAAAACTCAAAATTTGAATTTAATTTAAAGCAAATTTTAATTAAAGATACAATATAATTAAACCAAATTGTAGCAATTATTTTATTTAATAGTATATATTTTAAATAACTTAAAAGATATTTTGGATTCTAACAATTATTTTACCACAACTTAATTGCAGATATTACACTTAGTAATAATTTAATAAAAATATATATGTATATATATATAAATATATACTAGAATTCACCATTAATATTAAAAAAAAAAAATGTACTAGGATTTTGCAACCCAGGCATGTGCCTGTGCCCAAAAAAATTTAGGCACAGGCATAGACATGAAAACTTAGGCATAGATAGAGTACAGGTATAAAAATTTGATATTTATTATTTAATTGTGCTTGGCATTGTGCCTGACACCACTCTGGCACTTTGTGCCCAGCACCTTGTGCCCATGCCTTTACTAGTGTCTGGCACTTTTGTATCCATACCTTATGTGTCTATAGGCATAGGCATGGCATAAGGCACTAGTGCCCGGCCTGGTGCCAATGTGCCGGGCACGGGCATTTGCAGAACTCTAGTACGTACGTATGTACCTGTAACTAATAAATGTTAACCTTAACCCCTATGTGGCGGGTATAAAGTAAAATAGTATAGTATAGAAACGCAAATTAGAACGGATATGTAGAAATCGTGATAGTACGTACGTTTGTAAAAGAAAAAATTCGTCAAATCAAAGTTAATTTTCCTACTAACCAAACATGAAGCAAGACTCACCCTAACCCTAACCATTCAAAATAGATACTTATAAAAATTGATTTTTGCAAGTCTATATGTACGATCAAAATTTAGTATAATGTTCATATGTACGTACAGTACTACTTTACTGAATACCTCCATGGGGTGTCGGCCAATTGAACTGTCTGTGAAATGATTGTCGGTGAAGTGAGCAGCATATTTGTGTGCCGGAATAATCATTGTATAATAACTAAATTATGTAGTATCATAGTTTTTGAATGTTTGGTATGATGACAATTTAAATTTGTACGTACGTACGTACGTACGTACTTAAAATTTTTCTCTTGACAACACGCTTATACGAGGCGTCTATTCACTAAAGCAGTTCAAGGTATGCAATGTCACACGAAACTGATGTACAAAAAAGTTGCTAAAATAATATTTTGTTATGGATTCGAAGCAGCCAACGAGAATTAATTCATTATCTGGCTGTGAAATTTAATATGCAAGTCAGATTCTGGGCCCTTCGGGACTAGAAATGAAACATATTAAATTCGCAGCCAAACAACAAGTTATTGGCTGTGTAGCATACAATAAAGGTATTATCCGATGGTTTACGACGATTGTGCTTGCTAAATGACTCGAATTTTTTTGGCATTGATTACATCAGCTGCAAAATAACTTCGTTATTTAGCAGCTAACGTAATCACTGCCAAGTAATTATTTGTCAAGCATTATCATAGCAATAGTAAACTGCCTGATAATTACAAGTATTCTGTCGGCGAGGATGGAATTGCAAAATTCAACAATACTTTTGGAATAATAATACAAGGTAATGGATCTTAACTAAGAGTAAAAAGTATAAAGAAAAAAATTTGCGTACGTACGTATATGCTATACCAGATACATTAAAAAATGTTTGCAGACTTGTGATTTTTAACCGGAAATTTTAAGAACCTTTGTTTAGTGTTACGTGAATTGGAAGGCCCCAGGCCATGTCAGCCAAACTTTGAAGATCTAATGAAACTTTATACATAAAAGTAGACTATGTAAATAAACTACGGATATAAATTATAAAAGGTTGTTCTACAATTTTACTTAAAAGCCTTTTTTCTTTGATAGGGAAATGGCGGATAAAATTTACAATATTCATGGCGGGATAAATGTCAATATTTGGCTCATTCGCCCCGAAATTTGCTACGTATTAAATGTTGTGCTTGCATTTCTTGTTTATTAAATATGCAAATTTCATTCAAACAAATAATTTCCTCAAATAGAAAAACCAATGAGATACATTTAATTTTGGTGCCACAATCGGAGGGGCGGAGAACGATTATCAGTCACGCGACTTATTTTTGTGACGAAAATAATCTTACGTTATTTGATTGCATGGGTACCCCTGAATAATCAATTAAAATGTCGAGTGTTTACAAAAAGTACGTACGTACGTACGTAAATGGATCGAGTATGATCATAAAAATGTGAGATGGCATATATATGCAAGAGTTTTTTTTTAAAAAAAAACAAAAAGTGTTTAATTATTTCATAAATGATAAATTAATTGCTTGTTTAGTATGAAAGAATCAAAGATTTAAAATAAACAATTGGTAAGCATTATCGTGTGATACGCCAAAACGGTTACGATCATATGAACTAATGCATATTAATACGGGTGTTATTACGCGTAATGCATTTAATCTTTAGGTTAATTGTTTATTTTCTATTTAATTGTTATGGAAATTTAAATTAGCTCTTTCTGTATTACGTGTCACTTGCATTTATCTTTTCCAATAGAGTTTTTTTTGCATTTCTTTAAAATTTATTTAAACCATTCAATTTTTAGAGACAATATTACAAGTAAGTTGGTACTTACAATTTTTTTTTAATGATTTTACAGTGAATTCGACCTTTTCCTTGCTAGAATAAAACTCAAGCCTAAAATTGCCCGATAAATTATACAAATAAATGCAACTTTACAAAAAAAGGAAATCACAATAAAAAATTACATTAACATATTGGTACGAATTTGTAATTTATAATGGATCTACTATTTTGATGTAACAAAAATGCCGATGATAAAAAAAAATACATATAAACTCAAACTTTGTGATATCTTTCTCATTAATTTCAAAATTCCACTATCGATTAAAGCTAGAATCAGAAGAATATTTTTCAATGAGTCAAAGTGATGACGTAGAAAATGATATAAATTGTCCTGAATGTGGTTGCGCAAGACCATCCGGATGGTGTAATCCTTGCGAATTCCGTTGGATGTGCTCAACATTCTCGAGAAGTGGAAATAAATATATCGACCTATTAATTTCGCAAACACAAAAGAATGCAACACGTACTTGCGAATATTTAGAATTTATAGAATTTAGCAATATCGAAGGGTTTGAATATGTTGCTAAAGGTGGTTTTGGTAGCGTATATGAAGGATATTGGATGGAAGGTCCCCGATGGATCTGGGACGAAGTTAGTGCTATATGGTGTCGCAATGGTCCGACCAAAGTTGCTCTTAAAAAACTTGATGATTCGCAAGAACCTTCTATGAATTTTTTTAAACAGGTATATACTGATATATATATATGTGTGTGTTTTAATGTCTTGCAGTGTTGTCACTTGGCCATTTGGTCGGTCAATGGCCGAATTGGACAGAAAAATTATTTGCCGAAATGGCCAAATATTTATATAGCAAAGCTAGTAATATGATTGGTTAATATTATATAAGCTAGAAACTTTTGACTGAAATTTGGCCTGGCCATCGACCGTTAGTTGTTGCCTATTTTGGTCGGCCAAACAAAAATTGTCAACACTGAGTCTTGCATCATTGTAAAACTCCCTTTTATACATTCATCGTCATTATTTGCTTTCTAATTCATAGCTTGAAACATATCATCGTTGTCTGCAAAGCGGTTCCATGGCGGACTGTTTCGGAATAACGAAGGACGAAACTGGTTGCTTCATGTTCGTTATGCGATACTATGAAAATGGTAATCTTTATGATTACCTTGATAGTAATAAAGGAATAATTAGCTGGAGAGATATGGTTGACATGCTTTGGGGAATTGCTGGCGGTCTCGAAAGAATTCATTCTGAAGGTTTCTTTCATTCAAATTTACATGGCGGAAATCTCCTTGTTGAAGATGATACAATATCTATCGATGCAAAAATTGCTGATGTTGGACTCAATGGTCCTGCACACCGATCGATCTCTTCTGATAAAATAATTGGTGTCTTGCCTTTTATCGATCCTCAGGTGATACTGGGAAACCAACAACCAAACCAAGCTTCAGATATCTATAGTTTTGGAATAATTATGTGGGTTTTGGCAACCGGTCTTAGACCACATTTTAATAGGGCTCATGATTTGCAGTTGACTTATGAAATTTGTTATGAGAATTTACGCCCCGAAATAAATGAGGAGCTCGGATCTGAAATGCCTGAAGAATACTTTAATTTAATGAATAAATGCTGGGATCAATTACCGGAAAATAGACCAACTGCATATCAATTATACGAGGAATTGGGAAATTGGATTCATGCAATTTGTGATGATCCCAATCCTTCTGAAATTTCAAATAATTTTGGCATAGCTGAAGAGAAAAGATGGAAAAAAATTAAAAGAGAAATAGAAAACAAAACTTTGTCCAAGGATTTGATTCATGAAGATGCAATATATATCAGTCGTATTTTTGATTTTTCTATGTTACAAAAATAACACATATTTTATTAGTTTAGAAATTTATCACTTTAGCATTTTCAATATTTGTATTATTAAAACAAAAATATGCTTATTACAATATTAAGCTTTTTAAAAGATTATATGTATTTAGCATTTAAAAAAAAAGTAAAAGAAAAAAAGAAGAAAAAAGAAAAGAAAAAAGAAAAATAAAAAATAAAAAAAGAAAATAAATAATTTAATTACCGAATTATCGTACCAATTCTTATCATTTAGGTAGTTTGATTAAATATATACATTCCGTTTTGCTATATCAGATTGTATATTAGATTTTCATTTTTATTGTATGTAGCGGTAGATATTAATCAAAAAAAGAATTTAATGGATTACTTTAAATAAAACACTATTTAGATGTAACATTTACTATACAAAAACCCAAATATCTTAATGCGCAGTAACTACATCGTAACTATATAATATAGTTACTATGAAATTTAATAGTAACTATATAGTCACTATGTTCAAAAGATAAAAATAATTTATTTTGGATTTGGGCTCTATAATTTAGCAGTTAAGCTGCCAAACCTACACAAACTAGGTTGACAGTTTGAGTCAAACTGGGGGCAAATCTTAAGATTTTAGCCTCTATAACCCATAAGAAGCTATTATTAAATGTGAAGCTTTGTAATAAGTTCAAATGAAATACAAAATGAGGTCTAACTATAGAGAGTAGGCACTAAAAAATAAAAAACAAAATTTATATATTTAATACAAAGTAGCAAATACAATTTTTTTATTTAAATTATTTAAAAAAATAATTTATTTTTAAAAACAGTTATTATTAAGCAAACTAGAGTATTTACCATATATGACTAAAAATAAGCTACTATTTTTGGCCAAAAAGTTACATGAAAATTTTACAGGTAGCTTATTTTCAAAATATTAAGTTTTTAGAAAAATTAAAATATTTTATATAAAACTTTCAAAGTATATACAACTTGATAAGCTGAACAAAATCTGTTAAGAGACAAAATCTAGTTTACTTAGTAAAATTTTGAGTTTTATATAAAAACTATTTACAAATTTTTATATATTTAAAAAAATACTAAAAGGTAGCTTATTTTCAGTAGTAGCTTATTTTAGCAATATACAGTAATACTAATAATATAAAAATTGGTATAATATATAAATCAAATAATTTTTATTAAAACAAAAATTAAAATCTTTTAATATTAGAATTTTATTAAGGCCTGAGATAGAGCAAGAACATAAATTATATCTGAATTTTTTTATTAAAACACCAAGATGTTTTAATAAGTAAAATTTTGAGTTATTAAAAATTTTTAAAAAATAACAAAGTTTGTTTTAATTTTATATTATACCTGATTTTGATATTATACTGCAAATCAACAATTTTATTAACTAAAATAATTTGGTATTAAATATTACTGATGTGATTTAGTAATACTATACTATTTAAAAATATATAGGATATTTTATAGAATAGGTAGGCAAACTTTGCAAACTTCACAACTCTGATATTAAAAATTAATGATTACTAATTATTAGCAAAGCTTATTTTTTATATTGCTTACCTATTTTATAAAACATTCAATATATATATACAATCAGTCCTCGCTATAGTCACCTTTGCTATAATCACAACCTCAATAAAATTACAATTTTTTAAACCTATTTTTTTTATTATTAATTTCTCTATTTATAATCACATTAATATAACAATCACTATCACATACTTTTTAAAAACTATTTAATAGTAGCTATATATAATTTTCCCTAAATATAATCACAGATACAATAAAAAAAAATTGAATTCTAGTTGGAATTTAATTAATAATATTATAAAAAAATTCATGATTTTTACTCAAAATTTGATAATAGATATTATGATAACTAGTGATCCAAATCAGCTCATATTTTTATTATAGATAGTCATCTATAATATATAAAAATGTTAGCTAATTTGGTCTAGAATTATCATGTAATCACTTATATATGATAGCTAATTTTTTTAAAAAAATTAACTATTGTATACAAGCAATTATATGATAATTACTAGACTAAATTAGTTAACATTTTTATATATCATAGATGATTATTATACTATCTATAATAAAAATTTGAGCCAATTTGGATTACTAGTTATCAAAATATCTATCATCAAATTTTGAGTAAAAATAGTGAATTTTGAATATAAGAACTAAAAATATATTCTGGATAACTTTATTTATAAATTTAATTTTTTTTGCTATAATCATACTCTTGCTATAATTATATATTTTTTGGGGCCCAAAGGTGTAACTATAGTGAGGACTGACTGTATATATTTTTTTTATTTTGGTTATCTTGCCAATATCTTTTATTAAGTTCGATTTGTCAATAAACAAAAAGTACATTTAAGTGAATATAATATTGAGGTTTAATATTTTGCAGTTACTTTTAAGAGCACTTACAAGTAACTAGCTGCACTAGGTAAATATAACTAAAAAGATATATCACAATAAATTTCAAAGAAACTAATCTATTTCAGAAAACACTGTTAGACTACTGCTCTATAATAAAATATCACCAATCTGATGACATCTTCTTGTAGAGAAGTAAAAAAAGAAAAAAAGCACTAATACTAAAACTAATACTAAAACTAATACTAAAAAAGAGAAGGAAAGATAAGAAAGAAAAAACTGACAAGCTATAATTATAAGCCTGTGTTAGGTTTTTAAAAAATTATATATTATAAGATAAAGAAGCTCTGTATCTAATTCTATTCTATTAATAGATATATCTATAAAAAACCTACAAAGGAAAAAAAATATAAACTAAACTAAAAAAATCAAGTTTAACTAGACAGAGTAGTCTTTAAAGTAGTTACAAAATATCATTTGCAGTTTATAGAAATCAAAGCATATCACCACTATATTGTCTTAGTTAACCATTTTGTCTACCTACCTACATAACGTTTCCTACTCTGAGCAAAAATCCAGAAAATTATTAATTTGTATAAATTGATACAAATCAATATTTTTTATCCAAATCAATATAAATTAATATTTTTTATTAAAATTATAGATATAACAATTTGATTGGTTATTTGCAGTTACATAATAAGTTAATTGGTGATTTGCTAGTCAATCAGAGAGGATTTGCAAATTTTTATAAGTAAATTTTACTATAGGTCTGAATGTGGAGCACTTTATCTAAAACTTTTTTCTTTATTAAGTAAATTACTTTTTGGCTTCTAATAAAAGTTGTAGAGCTTATCAAGATATATCTAATAATGGTAAGAACATTAAAATTAGCCTAGTAGTTCTTGAGAAATCTTTAAAAAATGTTTCATTAATATATAAAATTTCTTTAAAAAAATTAATTTTTTTAAAAAAATTTTATATATTAGTGGAATGTTTTTTAAAGATTTCTCAAGAACTACCAGACTGATTTTGATATTTTTACTACTATTAGATATGTCTTAATAAGCTTTACAACTTTTATTAAAAGCACAAAAGTATTTACTTAATAAGAAAAAAGTTTAGATTGAAGTGCTTTACATTTAAACCAATAGTAAAATTTATTTAAAAAATTTGCAGATTCTTTCTGATTAACTAGTGAATTACCAATTAATATAAAATTGATATTTTTTGTAATATCAATTTAAATTTAAATTTTGATCTGATTATTGCAAAAGGTTTCATAAAGAATAGTAATTCTATTAGGATGATCTAATAATGAAATAAAATTAAAGAATAAATATCATTATATCCATATTACTTTAGTATAAGAATAAAGTTCTTTCATTTATTAAAATAAATGCTTCACTTTTATATATTTAGATTATTATAAAAGAGAATATATTCTGGAATCTACTTTATAACATTAGAAGCACTATAATTTGTGTTAGTCTTATATCAATATATATATTACCTCCTTTGAGGACTTTATAACAATCACAATACTAATTTAGCTAAATAATCAATTACATCAAAAAGAGTAAGATTACAAAATTAATCATTATATTATTAAAAAAATTTTGTGATAAAAAATTTTTTTCAGAGTATTAAATTAATCTATATTTGATATTTTGATAAAAAAAACTTTAATTTTTTTAAAAAATGTGTTGTTAGGCACTTTGCCTTGGTTATTATCACTTTTTTAAGTTTTCTAAAAAAAAAAACTCTAAAAGAAGGTTTTACTAGTAAATACTTATCTTTTTAAACAAAAAAAATTTTTTTGATTAAAATAAATTTTTTTTATATTAACTAATTTTTATTAATGTTATATTGTAAAATTAATTTTTATATATATCAAATTTTGTAGGTTTAAAAGCTAAGCATTATACTATCAAAAATATATTACAGCCTATAACCAGGTTTAGAATTTTTCTAATGATTTTTGAGTTGATAATGGTCTTTTGATATGACATTTTTGTGCAGAATTTGTAACTTTTACAAGCAAATTTGCAGTAATAGCTTATCTTAGTTCAAAAAAATATAAAAAATATAGAGGATTGTTATTTTCACCATGGTTTTTTGTTATTTTTTTATTTTTTTTTTTTTTACTAGCCTCTTTGGCATAGAGGTTTTTATTCAAATATAATGGGTGGGGAGCTCACAACAGAGCCCCAATTATATTAGAGAGTATAGCTAGCCATATATGTGTCTTTTGAGCATCTATTTAAGTAATCTGTGTATAGATAACTGTACACCATAAGTTCTACACTAGCTGCCATACCTATAACCCAACTAGGAGATTATCTATTTAAATCCTCTGTAATATATACTGCCTCCTTGTATCACTGGAACACTCTGTTACATTTGTTAGTCAATAGTTCTGGATATGTACTATAGTCTTAGGACTAATTTATCCTCGAGGCATCGTTGCTAGAGCTTTCCGTACCCACAGTCCAGCTAACCTAGATTTTCGGTAAAATATACCAAGTCTGAAAATGAGTACTTGCGAGCTGAAGCCACTACCATTACCTACTCTTGCCCTTGTAAAGTTTACCCAAACCTCAGCACCCACTTTAC